GACCTCCCACCCCACCATCAGCACAGCACAAGCCACAGCAGAGCGACACATCACAAACACCCATACCACATCTCCTCGGCCGAGTGGCGCTTCTTCCCACTTGAACTAGTGTGCGCATTCATTTAGGCCCCTTTGCGGCGATTGACAGGGACCGAGTGGTCGCTTCGCATCCGTTGGTCTCGACATGGGACTGGGGCCTGGCCGACCTCCACGGTTGGCTAGCGGGCGCCTTACGGGGAATTCCAATGCCAACCATTTTGTTTGGGCGATCCTTACTCCGTACTGACAACAGTCAATGGGGGGTTTCCTAGCCGGGTATTCAAAGGGTTGCCGAGGGAAGCTTGGCCCCGCTTCTCAATTACGACGTCGGTCGCGATCGAGACAGCACCCTGACATCCTGGTATTTCAAGTCGATGCCTTCAACTGACCAGGTACCCTGGCGTCATCTGACACGGCATTGCAATTACCGTCTGGTGCCGAAATTGTTCGATCGCGTGAGAACTGAAAATTCACAGCAGTGATGTCATTCTGGTGCATGCTTTGCGTCGTCTGGGGGGCGGAGGCCGTCGACAGGAGCTAAAAGTACCAGGCAGCCACAGCACGCTTGCCCAGAGGGCAAGTCCAAACGATGCAACAGGGGGGGTTCAACCCCTCGCCCTGAGCCACAAAACACCCTGCAAATCCGCACTGTCGGGATCTGACGTAGAGCACAGGACATTTCGATTTCGGGCGATCAAAGACTGTTCTAGCCCATCCAGCTAACACCTGGCGTCAAACTCCAACAACTAGCCTTTCGTCATCCGCCAGGGTCACCTACTATTCATACCACAGATTGCACGAAAGAGCTGACGGCCGATAGCCTGCAGGTTCGCACGGACTACCTCATCCCGACTCTCCGCCCTCAACCGTATTGTTCACAAAGAGCCTGACCGCGTCACCTCGCATTAATGTCAACCCCTCACTCCGCGCAAGGTCCAAACAGCAATGGGAGGAGAGAAGGCCACGCTGGCAAATGCGTGACCTTGAGAAGAGTTGGACACGGCGCTTGGAAAAAGCTCCGTCGCCATTGATCGCAAAGCCACCCGTTAAGGGGTCATTGGATGGCCAATTAACATGGATCAGAGAGTGCGGCGCCCGGCCTTTGTGCGACGGCATTCTGGAGCAAGGATTACACGACTCCGGTAGAGTCCTTGCCATAGGAGTCTCCTCCGAAGCTCAAGTCGCCATCCGTTCCTAGCTTGAGCAATCTGACCGGCTGGTTTCCTTCCCAAAACCGTTGGCCGTGCTTGCGCTGAAGGCGGACTTGACAATAGCGCGTTTGTCGAACACGCGAGTGTTGGGCTCTCCCCCGTCTCCACGCGGACAAGTTGCGTGCTGACGAATACGCCATGTCGCTTTTCTTCTCCCACAAGCCCCCGTCTCCCCTTCCTTTCCCCCCTTTGCCCAGCCCGTTAAGCAGGATTACGAGTGTCTTTTGTCGCTTTCGTGTGATTCAAGCCACCAACTCACCTGCTGCAGGCTGTCTATCAACAAGCAAAAGCCTTGTCAGGCACTCTCCTCTCGGTCCAATCGGGAACTCATCCAGGCGACGCCCGCAGAATGCTAGTACCTGCAATTGTCCCTCGTGATGAGAAGTAAAACTCTCTACAGCTGCAGATACGAACAGGCACGCCGGTAGATCTTATGTTGGCCGTGTTTCAGGTTTCGCGTAAGCCTCGATTGGCAGTTCATGTCCATACCTAATTGGGGTTGGCGGGGCTGACTTGCTGTGAAGGCGCTCGCAACCCCGTGGAATCCACCCCAACGGCCAACACATTGCACAGGAGCAACCGCAAGGATTTCTCGGTCGAACGGAATTATGGATCTCAACCAAAAAATTTGAGCCTCATTTGTTTTTCATCCTTCCCGATCGAAACTCTTTGTCAGACAGCAAGCTTACCATGACCTCAAACAACAATGAACAAGGATTGCAAAAAGGGGGCCTTCTTGACTGTTATGCTCCCCGGACAGCGAGGCGAAACAGTGACAAAACAAAGTTTCGAAACTGTCCGCTTCACCGGTCGCCTTGACGAAGGTAATACGAAATGCTATGTCCTATCACGTCGCTAATTGCCTTTGGTTTTCCCATCATGCTTCTGTCGGAGTTTTACCAATAGTCATCCAGGTCACTGCGGTTTCGATGTGCCATCATTGGCTGGCGAGTCCATCTCTCGGTCAAGTCGTCTTTTTGTTGAACAGCATGCAGCATCGACGCGGCGTCCATCCATGCTTGTTCTGGCAGTCGAGACCCCCATTGGCGGATTAAGTAAGACCTGCCGTATGCAGGCGCTTGCGTTGTGAAAATCACATGCACTCCCGGCGTTGTTCGACTGGGCCAGCGGCCTGCATGATGCCTGGATCACGATGGCCGGACGCCGGACGCCGACGCCCAGCCAAACAACACTGAGTGGCCCATCCCATCCGCGCCAGTGGCCTAGATCATTGAATGCGGCCCAAAATGAGGCCCGATTAATTTTCTATCAGTGTCACGCAAAATCTGCAACAAATAAGGGTGAGGTGACCGTACCAACCCTAACCCTGCCAATGGCTCTTTTCTTACACTTAAAGTCGCTTGCGATTGGAAGAACAGCCAAGACAGATTCCTTGCCAGGGTGAGCTCCATCACACCTTTCCTTTGGGACATCGCGTAAAAGTGGTTGCACGCGACCAGGGCTCATGAGGGGTCAGAGAAGTGTTGCTCCAACAATTAATTTGTCCGAGTCCCCTCACTCGAGTACTAGTAATCAGACAGAACCGTCAAGCGACGCCGAAAATGTGGCTTCTCGATACTGCAACACTACGCCCCCGCCAAGGAAATGAATCGAGCTCGGAGAAATATGCCATCCTTTCACATACATGGGAAGACGGCGTTGATATGAGCTTTCAAGCGGTTCAAAACCTGAATCAGGCTGCCACTCGCAATGTGGCGACTCGTAACCAACTCGCGGAGTATCGGACGGTGGACGACGCGGACACGAGTATTGACCAAGAGACTCGTCGCCTATTGGCCTCCAAGGATATGGCGGGGTTTCATAAGGTCCAGCGGACGTGTGAGGCAGCACGCTCTAAGAAGATAAAATTCGCATAGGTGGACACTTGCTGCACTGATCAAACGAGCAGTGCGGAGCTGAGCGAGGCCGTCAATTCTATGTTTCGGTGGTACAGGGAGTCGTACGTCTGTTACGTCTATCTCTCCGACTTCCAGCCACTGCCGAGCCGTCTGAGCGAGCAGTCAAGACGAGAACTAACAAGAGATCAACTCCGCCAGTGTCGTTGTTTTACAAGGGCCTGGACGTTGCAGGAACTTATAGCGCCAGCCAGGATGGAGTTTTTTGATCGCGACTGGAATTTCATTGGCGGGAAGGACGAGCTACAAAGCACGCTATCGGACATTACAAACGTTGATCGAGCCATTCTAGAGGATAGCTCGGGATTGCCGTCCATTCCGATTGCCAGAAAGATGTCGTGGGCGGTTGGCCGACACGACACGCGTCGAAGATCAGGCGTATTCGTTACTGGGTATCTTTGACATCAACCTTCCACTTCTCTGTGGGGAGGGCTCAAAAGCCGTTTTGCGGCTGCAGCAGCAAATCGCAAGCCAAAACAACGACCTCAGTCTCTTTGCATGGCAGTACGACGACCAGCAGGATGTGGAGAGCCCTCAGTTCGGCGGTTTGCTCGCCAACTCATCCGAAGAGTTCCGCCACTGCTATAATCTGAAAAGACACGCCGATCAATTTCAAGTCGCCTGAGAATTCGCAATCACCAACTCTGGCTTGCAAATGGATAACACCCTCCATCAGCTCAATCCAACACCCAATGGCGATCTCTTGTTGTGTTTAGATTGTGTTGAGAACGGTTCGAGAACCCACTACGACACAATGTAGCTCGGGATATGACTGACAAAGGTCGGCAATACTTATCTCCGGTTCAAGCCTGCCACTATCGAAATAGCGAAGTCAAGAGTCACGTGGACTGCAGATTCTGCCCAGGCACGGTCCTATGCCGAGTGGTTTAAAGGGCAAGGTCCCACCAAAAGCATCTTTGTCCAGACATACTCGGGCTGAGCGATGCCCAGCGCGTCCGGTCACTGGTGAATACTGGAATTGTGATTGTGTACAGCCAGACCATCATCAAGACCACCAGAGATCGATCCGGGATTCCGGATCACAGCGGTGAACTCAGCCACTGGGACAAAGGAGGAAACTTTATCTTCAACGCACAAGGGGGGGGACAATTTCCTGTCCATCCACTTTTTCAACATCACCGGCTTCACGACGAACAACACGCCCCTTGAGCGCATCGGCAACCAGTTCGGAACCCACAAGGCCAAGATAGCTCTTGTCTGCGCCTTGCAGTGGACGGGCTCGTCGTATCAACTCCGGCTGGCCATTTTCAAGACAAGCGACCTTGGGTGGACAGAAGGGCGGACCACCAGCGAGAGCGACATTTGACCGAGGTGAAGTACAAGTTGCTTGTTCATTACCCCGATCTCTCTGGGTTGCTGATACAGACGAGCATGCGACACAACTGTGGGCTGGCGGAGCTTCATGGCTCACGGTACGCCAGATCCAGAAGCTCGACGAGAACCCTTTGGCGTCGTTCTTTGCTTGGAGGGAAGGGTACTTTCATGTCATGTTGGAGACTCGGGATATACGGTCGGATGTAGAGATCGCTGATGCTCTAGCCTCGTTAAGGCCGTTCACCTAGCCAGCGATGACCTAAGTTTGGCCCTGGCGCCCTGGAGAATCGGCGAGGAGAGTGAACCAGTGACAGCTGATTGGATGTATGAAGTACATGTGCTGATGGATTAAGGAACGTTGAATATGACAATGTTTTTATTAGAGAGAGGGAAATGGAAAGCAAAGACCCAAAGCTAGTATTGCAACCACAAGGCCGTGGAAGTTGAGGATTCTCTATGGTGACAAAAAGGAACATCTGACCGAAATGGCAAAAGATATTGAGAAGAGTGGGAATCGAACCCACGCTCTTTCGAACCACGGAAAATCTGAGAACAGACCGTTGTTAAAGACTCAAAGCCTTAACGTGGCGCCTTAACCGCTCGGCCATCTTCCCTGCTGTTTGATGGAGTAGAGAAGCGATAATGAGATAAAAGATGGTGTGTGGGTGGCGAGTCCATGGAGGCTGGACCCTGTTAGGGCTAAGCATGCAGTTGTGGAGCCTTTGCCACGGGATGGAGGAACTTATATGCCGCTGTATGTACGTATAAGTGGAGATGCGGATTACCATACTGTGGAAATAGCATTGGCAGCGGTGTGCGTTGCCGCAGTTCAATTTATGAACGATTAGGTGGTAGAGGGGACCTAATGCATATGATGAAGACAAGACAGCCTTGGTACCCAGACAAACATAACTTGAAACCAAAAGCCAGTAATACAGGGTTCAATTTGTGGAAATAAACCGCCTCCCTTCGTCTCAAATTTGAACTACTTGCCCAAAAATATTTCAACTTCAGGCTGTCCAGCGTCAGACCTGCCAAGAATTACACCGCCGCCCCGATAACCCATGTTAGAAACAGAAGGGAGCCAAAGAAAAGCTTGTGCAGATACACGTGAGAGCTCAAAGCAGTCTCCAGGTGAAAGCGCTGGTCTTGTCGTTGAAACCATAGTCGGCCAGGTTCTCAACAGCGCCATAGACCTCGAGGCCTGCTCCCTTGCACTTGGTATGCCTGCACCGCACAGATTAGCCATTTTTCTTTTTCTTCATCAATATGGAGGTAAAGCTTACTCCCACAAAGTCCAAGCAACGCCCTGCTGCTGAGGGTACACGGACGAGACGGCGTCGTTGTAAGCCTTCAAGTTGTCGTCGTTGAAGTCCCCTACAGGTATCAAGGTTAGCCTTCTTGTTATCAAATGGCTGAGAGGGGAGAAAGGTACGAACAGCAATGACCCTTCTGTCCCCAGTTCAGGCACTGCCCACTTCCATGAGACCCAGAGCAGATGACGATTCGGAAGCGGCCGTTCTCGTCCTGGCGCGTGTCCAGACTGGCGAAGTCATAGTCGCTCGAGTTGACGAGACGAGGTGCAAAGGGCGCAGGGAATTTGGCAAAGGTGCCTGGGGCTGCGGGGAGGGGGAAGACCTCGGGCTGGGGTGCGGCGAGGGCAGAAGCCAAGAAGGGAATTATTGTGAGGAGACACTTCATGGTAACGATTGGGGGCTGGTTTTGGTGCTTGATTTATGGGGAAGTGTTTGTCTCGAAAGCTTGATGATGGGGATGAATAATATTTCGAGGGACCTTGAAGTCGAGATATATATACTCATTTTCTTCTACATGGAAGAGAAGCTCGTCAGTGGTTTGCTGACGCCGAGACTCAGCTGTGCCTCCATTTCAATATCCCCGTCGAATAAGAATGCCTGATGTCTTACCTCAGGCTTCTCCGATGAAGACGGGAAGCCAAACCATTCGCTCCTTCGCGATGCTGAGACGCCCGAAGAATATTGTCCGTGCCTATTCTAGGGAGGTGACTGCAACTCTGATAGTTCTGCAGCCCCGATAGAGTATTGTCGGCTGGATTATGGGTTTCTATTTGTCTTGGCTTCGTTGAAATTCGCTGACATTGACTGACAATGTTCAACGATGTGGGACTAAAGCAATATCAGTTCCTAATTTACCTGTCATGCTTTTGATGCACGGTGGCATGGTGGTGATGTTTACTGAGCGAAATTGTCAGCAAATTCAATATATATAAATTCAAGATGTGGGTACGTATACGAGACTCTCCTACACAGGTGAGAATGAGGGACGATAATAGCCATGATCTCACCATCACCACTTTAGCCGGGAGTTGGAAATTGGTATTTTGGGCTACGCGAAGGAGGGATTTATTCTACTTCGTAGTGAGATATAGGCAGAAAGTCATTAGTGCCAATTAAACTGGGCCTTCAAAGAACGTGGATTGAACGATCTCCATTGCCAGACTGCGGCGTCAAGTTTTTTTTTGGTTGTTGCCTGGAGAGTACCGAGTGGGACACTTTGTCAACGGCCTTGTTGCTATTGTGGTCCTCGGATGCTACTACAAACTCTTTAGATTCAATCCTCCTTGCTCTTGGACCATCCACAGTCGGTATGCGAGCACTCATCCTCGACGGACCTGAATAGGTTCCCATCATTATAATCTGAACTCAGCTCAGCGTTTTCTAGTTCCTGCTGGAAACGCTCCAGCCCCGCGATCCCTGATGGCTGCGCACCATGTCCATTGGTGTCAGCTGCCGCCCCGTTACTTCGCTGCCCATCCAGTCCCGCTTCGCCGGGTTGGTGAGTGCGTGGTGATGGCGCCGAACCGCACCGGGTTTCTGATGTCGTCGGCTGTCCCGTAGGCCGCAGCTCGGTGCAGAGCAGTGCATCCGTTCCAGTCTTTCACGTTGAGGTTTTCAAACCCGCTGGAAATTAGCATCTCGAGGAACTCGATATTTGCGACCGAGTCCGCCCCTGGATTGAAGAGATTGGCCGCAGGGGTCAAGCCTACGCCGTTGACGTGGTTGACATTCACGTCGTACTGGATAAGGAGCCGTGAGATTTCGACATTCCGTTGGAGGAAGCCACCAGTCAAAAGTTCACTCGAATTCAGTTAGCAGGTAGGTAGGTAGGTGGGCATATTTGTCGCGGAGGGCTTGGGCTTGTGTGGCTTATGTGTGGTATCTACCAGACGTGATCTTTGCATCTGCCCGCCGTTCAAGCAGGTACTTCACTACCTCGAACGATTGATTCTGGACACCATACTATTCAGACTGGTTAGTGAGTGGCCGAGGCAGCATTTCCCCCTTTGATATTTGATGACATGCCCAGAGTAATGGACGGCCATCCTCGGTGACGTCTCTGATGCTTGCGCGTCCAGTGTCGAAGAGATCCGCAAGAAAGGGGAGATTGCTGTCAATGCAAGCTCTCACAGCCACGGCATCTTTGGGTATGATATTGCTGACAGTGATTCGGCCCCGGTAGTTGAGATCAAGGCTCCGGGGGTCGGGTTTATTGAGCGAGAACACCGAGCGGACCGTCCTCCATTGCCATTGACTCCAACCACGCCACCACGGGAACTTGAGTTAAAACTAAAAGAGAGTGTGAGAGAAGTGTGACGTCGACAGTCCTGGTGAGATCGAAATCCATATCAACCCGTCACGCCACAGACAGGGGAGTAAGAGGACTTTGTGGGATGACTGGGGACGCTGTGGTCGGCGGAGTAAGGCAGCAGTCTGATAGTCAAAGCTACACTAGCGGCGGCGCGGCGGTGACAGAGGACAGTTAGTACTTATCTACTCACTTGCGACTCTCCTCCGTCTATTCTAGAACTGACAAATGATACTTCTAGGCCGGAGGCATCGAGTGAGACAGTCGCATTTTCGCGACTTACACAAAGCTAGGTACTTGACTAGTATAAAACACTATACTAATTACGACTCCCACAGACGCCCGGCTCCCTGTGGCCCTACCGGAGGACCCAGGTCAACCACCTTTGCTCAAGCACACCCAACTTCCAAATCGAGACGATAAACACTAGGGCGTGGTGGAAGCTATGTCAATAAGAGTCTTAGGGTGTGTTCTGAGACGTTCATTGCATTCCAAGCGCCCTTGTCAGTCATGCGGTGCTCGCCGCCTTAGTCGAGACGATACTGCACGGAGGGGATCGGGGATATGGAGGCAGAAATGCCCGCGATATCGATAGTATGAATTCAATTTTGCACGGTGGACCTATGGAGTTCCGAGAAGTGTTATGTGTGCTGCTTTCGACTACTACAGGCCGGCAGCTGCCTTGCAATCATGTTCCGCACTCGACGTCAAGCAGTGGAAGCTATTGTTAGTATTGGAGACCGGTAGTACTTGAAAACAGTCCCGTCGTTAGCGAAACAATAAAATTTGAGGATTGAACCTCGTTCAAACATTGACTCTGAGAATATTTCAATTTCTCTTCTGCCCTTCAAAAGCTACCAGCAGGTATTTTCACGACCACAAATATACTATTTGATGCACATTTCTTGATCGAATGGATGCCATCCAGATAGAGTGCAACCTGGCACTGCACTGTCTCAAAACTCCGCTCTCTGCTCAGCCTCCTCAACAGGACCCAGCCACGGCGCTCGCTGCGACGCCCACAGCTCAATCTTAGGAGCAACCGTCCAATACCCCTACCCTTCAACCATCTCATGGTCATGGCCAGTCGTTCCCGCCTGCACGAAATAGTACCCCCGCCACGGATCGGCCTCGACCTGCTTATACAGCCACGTGCCGCAGTCACCACAGAAAGCCGCGTCGGTCGTAAAACCGGCGGGATGCGTGAACTGGTAAATCTTGGGCTGGCCCGACGACGTGATGCGGAACTTTTCGGGTGCGACGGGGGCAGTGCATCGCGAAGAGAGAGCTGCTGAGGCGTTTGCAGGTGTTGCAGTGACAGAGCATCTGGAAACCAGCCAGGACAGTTAGACCTCCATTTTGCGCAAGTCGTGAATGAAATGTGGGGACAGGGACAATCACGCGTGCCTTTGTCGCTGGCTCGCCCTCCATCTCGTAGGTGATGTTGCTGCAGAAGCAGCTACCCTTGATAGCATTCGTACGCTGACTGTTTGCCATTTTTGGCCGTTTGTCGCTGTTATATGACTGCAGTTCTTGGGGAGATTGATTTTATCCAATTGAGGAGCTGAAGTGATGGCTTCCATTCCAGTCGCGTGCTGAAAAATTGGCGATTGCTGGGCTCGAGAAACCAAAAATTCCTGAATGCGACGGAGGCTGCTGGCAATCAGGCGCTCGTTGCATTGTACCGCCAATGAGAAAAGAATCGTTCTTCGACGCCGCTGAAGCCACTGGCGTTTGATTACTTAGATTTTATTAGCAATTATTTCGCGTTTGACAGTAAACATCATCGTACCATCTCGATCAACCCTTGACATCCTCACCCTCCTTTCGAGGCCTTTCCGAATCCTCCCAGTCAGACGACCCTTCTCGCTGCATGTCGTGTTGGGCTTTCGGGGCAAGTGGCATCGCATCTGTCGACGGCTCTTTCTCTTTTTGACGTCTCCATGGATTTATTTTTAGCGCAGTGATGGCGCTCATTCTTTTCTGCAGC